GATTTCTATTGCTTATGAAACAAGAATTACCTTTTTGATATGTTTTATCTTGAAGCTTGTAAAACTTTTTCCATGAAATATTTGTTTATTTCTCCATTAAAATTTTGCAATTTATCTGTTTATTTGCTTTTCTGTGAGTTCAGTTCTTTTTGCTCTGGCATAACTGATATCCATTTTCCTGTCCTTGACAGTGTTATGACTCCATACTATAGTGAGGAGACTGTATATTCTAAAGCTGACCTTGAGATGGAAAATGAGGATGGTGTATCAATCATATACTACTTGCAAAAAATTTTTCCAGGTTTGTGATGTTGTCAACTTCCACAATGAACTTTTATTATTAATTTTTTTCTTAAATTTGATGTGGAATTTTGATGTTATGCATGTTACTAATGGTTAGACGAGTGGAATAATTTCTTGGAGAGACTTGATTGTAAGGACGATAGTGAGGTTTTGGGAAATGAAGAAAATGTGTTGCATCTTCGACATTGGGCCTCCTTTAGAGGGCAGACACTTAGCAGAACAGGTGACTGATGCAGTATTTTCTTCTTCTAATTCATCTATTACTATTGTTTTTTCTACCTAGAATAATTTTTGCAACTGCAGTAAGGGGGATGATGTATTACAGACGAGCACTAAAGCTTCAAGCTTTTCTTGACATGGCTTGTGAGAAAGGTAGGAGCATAAGAATTTCCCCGTGAAGTGTTTAACAATTTTTCTTCAAATTTGAATTGGCCAAGGCTCTTCATTCATTCAGACATTTTAAGGGATTTTTTTAATGAAATTTAATTTTTATTAATTAAAAAGTAGTTATAGTGAATTAAATTATTAATTATATTACTTATCTAACACTAACATGTGACACTTTTCTACTAGTTAAAACAAAATGTTCAGTGCTTGTAGTTACAACTTAATTGTTGAGGAAATTATAAGCGAGATATCTTAGATATTAAATATGCATATATGCTGTCTTTCTAAGAAGATGCACATATGTTATTCCTGTGCTAGCACTAACATGCTGATAGATTCAATGCGAGTAGATAAATAGCTAGATGTATGGAAATCTTTGGTGTCTTGTCTTCTTCAGCTTTACCAATAAGTAGATAAATATTGTATCATATATCACTCTAGAGAAGTAAAAGAATGTGTCTTGGTGTCTATGGCCAAGTCTAAGCAAGTATAGCTGTACAACTTATTTGTAGAATTTCAAGAGAACTTAAAGACGAAACAAGGAGATCTAATAATTTAAATATTTTTTTAATTTAATTAGTTTACTGCTAGTAGTTTTATAGTAAAGGAAAACTGCCATTGCCTGGTTATATTGAAGAAAGCACTCAATTTTTGACCTTCATAGTCTTCGTTCCTTCATCCTTTAGGCTTTGCTATTTTTTTTCTACTCATTTTCCTCTTTCCTCAATTTTGTTTTCTGCACAATGTGCATTTAATTTATAATGTTTTTAACATCAAATTTGTTATATGTAGAGTACCCCTTGTACTCTCAATAATAATTTGAGTTAACTTTCAAAAAAAAAAAAAAATGGCTATATGCAATGTAGGGTACAGTCAGTGAAATACTTGTACCAGTTACTTGTATGGATGATGATTGCGCTAGCTTTTGACTCATTGAGCAGAAATATTAGAAGGCTATAAAGCTGTATTAACTCCTTCTGAGGAAGATAAAAAGAGTCACAGATCCCTATATGCTCAATTGGAGGCAGTGGCTGACTTGAAATTTACATATGTTGCAACCTGTCAAAACTATGGGAACCAGAAACGTAATGGCGATCGTCGTGCAACTGACATCCTGAATTTTATGGTCAAGTATGTTCTTTTCTCAAAACAATAAAAAAAAAAAAGGTTCTAGAGTCAGTTTCAGTGATGTCCTTGCTGGATTCTTCTCTGAAAGACCCTAACTCCTAGAACTTCTGCTACAGTAATCCCTCTCTTCGTGTAGCATATATTGATGAAGTTGAAGAAAGGGAAGGTGGAAAGGTACAGAAAGTTTATTATTCTGTATTGGTTCGAGCCATTGATAATCTTGATCAGGTAACTGTCCGTTTTTTTGGCTAAAAAATCCCGGTGATTATCTTTTAGAGAGAAGCACTGTGTGCTTGTAGGATGCATCCAACACTGACTATTTTACCATCTCCTCTGAAGGAAATCTACCGTATAAAATTGCCTGGGACAGCGAAGTTAGGAGAAGGAAAGCCTGAAAATCAGAACCATGCTATAATTTTCACTAGAGGAGAAGCTCTTCAAGCAATTGATATGAATCAGGTAGATATAGTGGAATATATGATTATTTAATTTATTATTTGTATTTCTTGGGCATATCTGATACATAATTTACCTTTTCTGCTAGGATAATTACCTGGAAGAAGCTTTCAAAATGAGGAATCTTTTGGAAGAGTTTAATGAAGATCATGGAGTACGTCCACCTACAATTTTAGGTGTTCGTGAGCATATCTTTACTGGAAGGTTGGATTATTTTCCATTTAATTTCTTTGTTCTCTTGGGAGCTTTTTCTATGTTACTTCTAAATCCCGTAATTCTGACATATTACTGTTGGACAGTGTATCTTCTTTGGCTTGGTTCATGTCAAACCAAGAAACGAGCTTTGTCACCATCGGTCAAAGAGTCCTTGCAAGACCATTGAAGTACGTTATATTTATTGAGGTTTAGTTCTTTATTACATAAGCTATTTACATCATAAAGAACACACTGTTAATTTGATAAACAACGATTCTGGTGAGAGTATTTCATAAAATGTAAATGGTAGCGAATTTTGATTTAAGTGACTTAGATTAGAATTTTTTTTTTTTCTGCTTGATGCTAAAATAATATGCTTCTTTGTATGGAAAACACAACATTACAAACACATGCATTCCCTTCAATTTCTTTCTTACTTTATATTGAATCTTAAATAAATGACCCCCAATAAAATCTTATCAATTTTAAATTAAAATATTTTTCATGTCTTCTGTATGATAACAATGATTATGATGATGATGAAATTCTTCTCTAAAATTTCATTGGTTCTTTTTAGGGTTCGTTTTCACTATGGTCATCCAGATGTGTTTGATAGAATCTTCCACATAACCCGTGGAGGCATCAGCAAGGCTTCTCGTGGCATCAATTTGAGCGAGGACATTTTTGCTGGTAGCTTTCTTAGGCCATCCATCTTTAATTATATGCATTTTATTTAATTTAGTTGGTAATATATATCATACTCTAATAGGTTTCAACTCAACGCTAAGACAAGGGAATGTTACACACCATGAGTACATTCAAGTTGGGAAAGGTCGGGATGTTGGGCTTAATCAAATCTCACTCTTTGAAGCAAAAGTAGCATGTGGAAATGGGGAGCAGACACTCAGCAGGGATATCTACCGATTAGGCCATCGCTTTGACTTTTTCCGCATGTTGTCATGCTATTTCACAACCATTGGATTCTATATCAGCACTGTGGTAATTTCTCATTACTCAGAAGATTAATGTCAAAGTTAAAGTGGAGATGAATATTTACTGAGTTGCTTAGGTTTTTTTTTTTTTGGCCAGCACTGAGTGGTTGGGAGTAAGACCTGTATTAGATTAGCCAGTGAAAATAGGGAACAAAAACTCTTTATTAAGTTGTGTCTGAATGCCAACATAATTGATTGGAAAAATTAATTAAGTGAGATAACTTCCTAAACATCTGTTACTTCCATCTCAACTTTCTTGGACTAGTAGGGTGCATCCATTTATAGTAATTAATCTGTTTCAGATGCTCTAGTTATGCATAAATTAATCCATCAATTATGAAATTCCCCACATACTGTTACATGCATGAGGATGTGCTTGTGCGTACACATCAACACCTTTTCAGGTGATTGTTGCTCATTTGTTATGCTTTAACTCATTAGATACACAATCTAAGCACAATAATAGTTTTTATGTTGTAATGATGTGTGGAAATCACTCTAAGAGCTTTGCAAGTAAAATATGCTGCTCTTTTTTATGCTCTGTTTTCCTCTAAGTTGCTAGCAGGTTCATTTAACTGTTATACTGTGTGTCAAAAAGCTTTTAAAAGCTTCAATCTTTTTTCTTTCTCATATTACCTATGAGAAGGCAAAAAGAGAAGAAAAGGCAAATTATGTTGTCTGGCATTTTGAATCCAAATTTTTGAAATGCCAGTGCAGCAAGAGGAAGTCAAATATATGTAATGAGTGAGTTTTGATAGCTTCTTTTCTAAATCTCCTATCTCAACTTTCCTTTCAGCTAAGATGAAATCTCTGTTCGTTATCTTTGCAGCTGGTTGTCTTAACAGTCTACCTTTTCTTGTACGGAAGACTTTATATGTCATTAAGTGGATTGGAGCGATCAATAGTTAAGGTTGCTTCAGCTAGGGGAGATGATCCTCTCAAGGCGGCTATGGCATCACAATCTCTTGTTCAATTGGGTCTTTTGACAACTTTGCCAATGGTCATGGAGATTGGACTGGAGAGAGGATTCAGAACTGCGTTGGGTGATATAATAATTATGCAGCTACAGTTGGCAACTGTGTTTTTCACTTTCTCCCTTGGGACAAAGGTCCATTATTTTGGACGTACTATCCTACATGGTGGTGCAAAGTACAGAGCAACAGGGCGAGGATTTGTAGTGCGGCATGAGAAATTTGCAGAGAACTATAGGATGTATTCAAGGAGTCACTTTGTGAAAGGGTTGGAGCTTATGGTATTGCTTGTATGCTACAGGATATATGGTTCAGCAAGTAATTCAACAGCTTATTTACTTCTCTCCTTCTCAATGTGGTTCTTAGTTGCATCCTGGTTGTTTGCTCCTTTCCTTTTCAATCCTTCAGGATTTGAATGGCAAAAGATAGTGGATGATTGGGATGATTGGACAAAGTGGATAAACAGCAGAGGTGGCATTGGAGTGCCAGCAAACAAAAGCTGGGAATCCTGGTGGGATGAAGAACAGGAGCACTTGCAGCACACTGGGTTTCTAGGACGTTTGTTAGAGATTGTTCTTGCTCTGCGTTTCTTAGTTTACCAGTATGGAGTTGTGTATCAGCTAAATATTAGCAAGGCTAGCAGACTTGGTCAACAACGGAGCATAATTGTGAGTCTATGCGCTGCTCTTACCCTTTGATATGCTCTACTTTCAATTTTTTACATTCTAATCTACAGGTTAGAGAAAGTCTAAATCTGGGATTGGTTAGTATCTCTTCAGTTTGAGACAATGTGCAAACTTGTTTATTTGCTAAAATAAGAAAATTGTTTTTAGGGATGAAAATTTGTGGTGTTCAATGGTTAGAAAACATGGTTTTTCAATTTTTTTTTCTGGCTCTGTGTGAGGAAACCTGATTCTTCAAGATTCAATAATCTTTACTTTCCAAAAAAATCCAGGATAGACTATTTCCTAGATAATGAGAACTGTGTTTCTGCAGACAGAAATAGAGAACTGTCTTTCTTACAGAATGAAACAGAAAACTGCTATTCTATTTATATGTTTTTAATTTCTTTGAAAATGAAAAAGTCACTAGTTCTCCACAATTGAGTTCGGACACAGTTTTAGAGCTGATATGTTTGCAAAGAAAATTTTCCAAAAAATGGAAACCAAACAGAAACTCTGTTTTGAAGGGTAGTTATGCACCTCCATTTTGGAACACCAGCTTCTCAAATCCTTGTGAATGGAAGACAATTTTAACTTGTCTCATCAATTTCCCCAATACCTAATTCTTAAGGTGTTGGAACCCAGTTATTCAGCTTTGAAGATCTGGTTTTCCTGTATTTGTTGTCTGATTTCCCATTTTACAACTTTAAAAACCTGGTTTTCCTATACTTGTTATCTAATTTTCCATTTTACATTTGCTTGGCTCAGCAACTAAGCATGTTTTTATTAACAACCATGGAAAACTAAAACAAAAGGTTTTTGACATTACCAACTTTTTTGTAGTTATTCCATTAACTAATTGTGCTTAATTAATCATTTAAATTGTCATTAGAAGAACTAATAGTGCTGTTAAAAATAAGATTTTAATCTCTGATGCTTCCCCATGGATGCTTACTGATGCAAATTGAGGTGTTATAGCATGGCAGCAAAGAACAGTCCCATCTCCTGGCATTTTGGAAAAAAGATGGTAGACAAAAATGAGTTTAATACCTTTATTTTTTGTAACAAGTTGCAAAATCCTGAACTGGTATCTTGGATAAGTAAAGGTCTTTATTTTTTATTTATTGTCTTTTATTTATTTTATGTTTTCAGGTCTATGGTCTGTCCTGGTTGGTCATTGTTGCTGTGATGATTGTCTTAAAGGTGAGTTTCAACTTCAGAAGATCATTATAAATGGGAATAATCTAATTCCAATTCATGGTTCTAAACACCAACATTCCTTTGTTCTGCAGATTGTATCCATGGGTAGAAAGAAGTTCAGTGCAGATTTCCAGCTTATGTTCAGACTACTAAAGCTATTCCTGTTCATTGGATCTGTAGTCACCCTTGGCATGCTATTTTACTTCCTTGGTCTCACAGTTGGAGATATCTTTCAGAGCCTACTGGCCTTCATGCCAACAGGATGGGCAATTCTACAGGTACTAATCTCATTTTGAAAATCACTTTGGTCTTTGAAGCGAACACAATCTTCCTTTTCAACTCTAAGCACACACTTTTGTGCATATGTGCACATGCTTGTGTGTTTGTGTTTGTGTTTGGCACGGTGCATGCTACATTTGACATTAGTGACATTAGTGGCAACAGCTTCCTTACTAATCTCTGAACCCCGATACCCCAATTTGAAATTATTGGTATGCATCATTTCAAGAAGTTTCACGCTTTCTTTTTGAATTACAATCACCACCAAAAGACAATTTAAGATTCTATAATATCTATTTCGCAACGAAGTAATACTGCAAGGTGGTGTTAATGTTCTTGAGATCTAATATATTTAACATATTTCTTTCCTTTGGATCTTTAAGTCTATTCCTGTCGCATTACTGAGTGCCTGCTTCATGATCAGATATCACAGGCATGCAAGCCATGTGTAAAGGGTATTGGAATGTGGAGTTCAGTGAAGGCTTTAGCAAGAGGGTATGAATACATGATGGGGGTGATCATTTTTGCACCCGTGGCTGTACTGGCCTGGTTCCCCTTCGTCACTGAGTTCCAAACCAGGCTGCTCTTCAACCAAGCTTTCAGCCGAGGGCTGCAAATCCAACGTATTCTGTCTGGTGGCAAGAAGCAGAAATAAAAACTCTAAAGTTCGGCATTGCAAGTCAAGGGAGAAAAATGTTAAAAGGCAATTTGTTCGCAGAAAGAAAAGTCTTGGAAGGAAGATCCATGAGTTTTGATAAGAATTTGGTCAAGTCACTTCTTTCTGCAGCACTTAAGAGGGCAACACTTACTGGGTTCTTTAATAATTGCATCTCCATTTTTTTCATTATGCTTATATGATATACTAAATTGTGTGTCAGAAGCAATTAGAAATAAAAATGACATATCCTCCCGTTTATTTTATTCTCCCTCTTGCACTCTGTTTTTTTTCTTTGATGAGACAAGCGTGCTAGCTAAATACCAATCACAATATATTGCTAGTCAGGTGTGGCCAAGAGATTTTCAAGAATCCATCTTGTCTTCGTAAGACTTTTCTATATGGTTTGTGAGCTATTCAACTTCTGATGACAATCTTAGCATGGTTGGTATAGCAGCATATTTTTACTACTTCAAAAATTTTGTTCTAATAGGATAAAATTTCATTTTTCATCCTTAATCTCTCTAACATGAGAGATATTTTCATCCTTAGCCATCATTTTGTGCCACATATGTCGTTGATATTTAAAATTAAGCAATAACAATAAAGTAACTGTAGGAAAAAAAAATTTGTCTAACTTTAAAAATAAAAAAAGGAATTAATTTAGAAAAATTTTAAGTAAAAAAAGCATAATAATTGTTTTTGGGACAAATAGAAGATATGTTATCTATTATTTTACAATGCCCTATATTTTCCTAAAACCATTTGTCCCAAGATTTTGGACCTCACTTGTATCTTCAAAGAGTCATGATCTATAAGTGTCATATTGTAAGCCAAGTATAAAATTCAAGTTTAATAAAGCGCAAATGAAATTCATTTCTTTGAATCAAGTAAATGTGGAGGTGCATCCGTTAAAGTACGTAAAAAAAATTTGTTTCAAAATGTGCATAGGCTTAGCCTTGTCTACATTTAAAAAAAAAATGTTCTACTTATAAGTCTTAAATTCCATATTAGTTTACCATATGAAAATAAAATTTCTCCGAGTGCTAACTCCAAAATTTAACCTATAAAATGACTCACTTACCAACAAAACAAAATGTGATATTGCAATTCTTATTTGCATTGAGTCAAAAGTTAGGGTCCTTAATTGCATATAAAATTAGGTCCTAATCTATAACAACTGTTATTTTTGGGTTGCATGTCATTTTAGGAAATAGATTAGTGGAGTCCAGGTGTCTACTAACCTATTAATGTCAATAATAAGTGTCTTAAGGTAGAGTTTGGCTAAGTGGGAAGTAATTAAAACTCACTTAACCTTGACTAAGGGAGTATATCTGTGTCTTACAACTAATTTGCTATTTTTTGTATTTTTTCCTTTTAGCTAGACCGAAAGGGAAGGAGTTTGGAGATTCTTGAGGAATTCTACCAAGTCCAAAATTTTAAACAAGTGTGTGTGGTAAGTATAATTCTTAATTGGGAAATGATTTTGAGATAACTTTTTTATCATATCTTTTTGTATAACTTGATGTGTCATTTACATAATTAGTTTTATTCATGTAGGTGCTGTCATATTGAATACATCAACTCATTTAATAATATGAGGAAGTTGTATCAAAAGATCGTATAAAAAGATTGTCCCTATAACATCATCTTTCTTAATTTTAAGTCTAGACTATCAAACATAATAAAAGGTATAAAAACAAGTTGGACAAAACAAATATAAGTTATTAAGGCTCTAGAAGACTACAAATCAAGGTTAAATAACATAAGTTCAGGTATAAGTAAAGAAAAAATGATAAACCGAAAATAACCTATGTTGGAGCCTAGTTTCTATTTGAATAATTGTACAGGCATTGAAGATGGCGATTTGAGTTAGATAACTAGGATCTGAAAATAAGATCCGTGATGCTATTTTCGGTGCAAATAATTTGGGAATATGCTATGCCTTTTCCTATTGATTCTACGAACCATGTTAAATAAAATATTGAACCTGTTATGCATGTTTCTATATTGTAAATTATAATTGCCTTAGAACTATGGAGAGATTGGACTCCAACCTAGGCTTGGGAGTTATAACAATGAACTAGTGAAACTCTACACAATAAGTAAGAATTATGACTAATTCTAGCACATAATGTGAGTGAATGTACATTCAAATGACTTCATAGTTTGTGCTATTTCTATTTATTGTGCTATATTGTGTAAATGTTCTATGGTTACAGTATCTTAATTCTATATGTGTAGAACAAGTAAGAAACTAATGGAATTTTTTACATAAAGAACTAAGTCATTAAGAACTATTAGCTTAACTAAAAATTAAGAATTATGCTTATTGAGCTGTGAGCTCATAGTGTCTCTTCCACTATTTTAGATAGTAGCATGAAATATAGTTGTTGTTCCTAAGATCTTTTGGTGGATGTCTTATGCAAACTGTAAGCTATGCTTCTAAGTCATCAAAAAGGCAAATCTGTATTTGTTTAAAACTTTATTTAGCTTTGTAAATTTTCAATTTATTTTGTACTAAATTTTGCGTCCGGAAAGGCAAGTGAAACAAGTCTTTTATTCTTATGAATAGTTCTTTCTTCTTATGCACTAACTAAATAACACTTTCACAGGTGTTCTTGTTTATTTTCCTATCCTGCGAATAAATTTGTCTCAAGTAATATTTCAAGCTTTCTTTTTTGTTTCACTAGCACTTGTTTACGTATTTGTTATAACTTTAGCTTTAAAGTGTCACAAACTTCTTAATTTCTTAAAACAAAGCACTTGAATTGATATTATGGACAAGACATTCCTCTAATTGATAAGCCTTGGGTTTATAAAAAGAAGGATGTAACACCAACCCTTGTTACCAAATGGAAAGTGGATCAAATATCTATTACACAAGCATTTGCCTTGAATATGCTCCATTTAAAGAAGAAAAATGACATGATCTCGTAAGGAATCCCTATTGATCTCATAAACTTAGAATACAATCTTTGAAACCCTCAATATCTAGAATCTAAAAAGATAACTCCCTGCGGAAGCTATGCCAGAGCAAGTCAGGTCTCGCCCTGCACTTTGATACTCCCCTACTTTCTCTGGTTTGACAATGGCATTCAGCTTATCATATTGAAAGACGAGGATCATTCCAAAAGAGGACTATTAGTTGACCCCAATAGCTACTATGACAACAATTCTGCGTAGTTGACCTACATTATTCCAATATGGTTTAGAATCCTGTCAGCTATACTACCTCACTTCTACACAAACGGGAGGAGAGTTTAAAAAAAAGGGAAAATAGGAAAAAAAAAGGGAAGGGGGGGGGGGGGGGGGAGAATGCTATTGATGATCATCTGGCCTCAATGGCATAAGTTTCAGAGCCCCTAAGGAATGATCTGCGCCACCAAATCTGGAAGGCTTTGCTGAGATTGGGGGATTCACTTCCATGCTTGGAGAAACATCGGAACCATTCCATAAACAACACATATTGCTGCTTCAAAGGAAGTGTAAGGAGTGTCTGACCCATTGCTTCCTCCAAGGCCCTCACGTCAAGCCCCTTTCTGCATCTTTGCAGCCAACCAAAGTCCCCCAGCATTGGTCCAAACCATGCTTGGAAAAGCACTGATCTTTCTTTTGAGTGGCAGTGCAGCTTCCGCATGCCCATTGCAATAAATAAATTTGCTGAAACCCGACTGAGCTCATACCTAATCATTGGAGATGCGACCTCATGCACTTTAAGTAAATGTGCTTGATTGGCCCAGAAATCCACGAATTCCTCTGCCATTTGTTGATCAAGCATGATTTCTAGCAGCCAATTAATGTTATCCACTTGCCTTGAGATGCGTTCAATTAGAGGCCTATTTTTCTCCTTTTTGGCCATTCTTTCATGAGGGATGGCATCAGAGGCCTCCTCGAACAGGTTAACAAGTGAGCTCACGCATGAGTGGCAAACAGCATAGAGATCGTTTTTACCGACATCAGGTTGCTCCTTCTCATAGATTGCACTTTTACAAAGAAGACCCTTGACCATTGACTTTAGCTCATTTCTTGCATTGTCATCGCTGCAGGTGGTGATGGAGGATACAAGTTGTCTGGCTAAATTTTGCTCAGAATCTACCGAGTCATGTGGATAGAATCTAGCCAAAATTTCTCCCGTAGTAGCATGATCAAACTTAAACCTCGTAAAAAGGTTCCTCAATTTTTCCTCCTCTTCCTCGGTCCAAGGAACAGCTTCTAGGTACTTTAAACAGGACAAAACAGCTTTATTAAACATAATGCTGGCTGATACCTGGCAGAATTTTCCACAGACACCATCAATATTAGAAATGGGAAGAAGTGATCAATGCAAGGATCACATCAGCTTCCTAACATACTCAAGAATACAAGAAATGAATGTGATGCTCAGAAAAGATAAAAAAAAAAAAGAAAGGGGAAAGAAAAGAATAACAACCATGTATCTCTCTTCTTGTTTTGCATATTCTCGTTTTAGCTGTTAATTACTAACTCAAGGAGGTTTGATTTTTTGCATACAGATTAAAACCATAGATATGTTCAAATCCAGGGCACCAAAATGATGGACAAGTAGTATTTTTAGCATAGTTGCATCAAGGGTATCATGGTAAGGCATCTACATTTAGTAACAAGAACTAAAGGATATATGTAGCCTATCAAGGTGACAGCAGGAATTGCTGTTAAATGGACTTCTATTTAGACAAAAAGGATTTGTAACCTAACTTCTCTGGTAAATGTGACAGAGATATAAAATGGTGCCACAAGTTTGTTCTAGTTATGGCTGGAGCTGAGATGAGATATTTATGAGATTGATCCAAGATTCAATCAGTGATTGTACTCCTTTCAATTGTTTAACAAACTGCTTGACATTACACTTGTCTAAGTGACCTAAACTAAACAAACTTGAGGTTTTATATGATCAGTTACAAAGCTCACAATTGGCATACTCAGCTTAATCACCAAATCTTATTGGGTTCATCTAGCAAGTCCCATATTTCATAGCTCATACATGTCCTAAAGGTGTAATTTAAAATCTAAATTTGATCCATTTTGTTAAATAATGTTTCTAGGGACATTATCTGTGCATGGGATGGGGTGAGAATGCAACACTAGGAATTTGAATAATTAATAATATAAGAATGGAAGAACTCATGAAGGAATCTTGATTGGCGGTTATTCTTCTCAAGATATATACCAACTTCAGAAATTCGGGCAAGGGTTTTATTGGAATGGGTTAATTTATTAGGCTAGGAAAATTGTTTCCATATAAGTTTTATTAACATGCCACATGACTTCCATGATGAGCTAAGGCTGGGAAAATTGAAGTTTTTAGAGCCTAGAGTTGAAGAACGGGAGTATTCATTTCTAAATGAATAGACTTTAATATGGAAATAATCATATGCAAAAGAGAGACTAAAACTAAAAATATGGATAATTGCAATTCTGAAACAGTCAATGGTTGTTGGATGTTGTAGAATAATTTTACCATCTTATAGTTTAAAAAGGGAGGAAACATTAAGGTTTGGGAGGGAATAAGGGAACACTGAACAAGAATGAGAAAGCTTGTGGTAACTTTAGAAAAGAGAAGCAAGATTGAACAATGAGAATTACCAATGGCAGTAGGCATTGACAGTGCCTCAAGCCACTAAATGACTAGATATTCCATTTACCAATGGTCTACTGCAATATGAAGAAAATATATTCATTACAAACTACAAGACGTCTCTTAGACATGTCTTACACAAACTTAAATATCAATTTAGGAAACAGATATAAACAACTTAATGACACCACAACATAACATGCATAATAAAATAACAATCAAGGGCTAGAAATCTAATACTGATATTTGAGTATCAAAACATAAGACAAAAAGAAAAATTTATTTTTCCCTTTGCTGTATTAAGAAGAACAGAAAGTCATTCAATAACAATGCAGAAATTTCTTCAAGGATTTAACTGCATTGTTGCCATCATGGAGAAAAAGAGGCAAAATCTTATAATACCTAACTCCAGCACCTAGTAATGCCCAAATCTAAGCTTTTTAACATAATATCAAGATATCCTGCTAGCTCTAGAATTCGAACCTTCAAAAGGGGGAGGAAAGGGATGGAGGGACATAATTACATCACACAAATTACACAAGCAAAGCTAACATTCTAACAGCATTCAACCAAAAATGGCAATTTGAAGGAAATTATATTAAAAATTGCCTATTTGTGTTTAAGAATAAATCTCAACAAAGGCAAATTAAAGGAAAAACTGACATTTCTACGGAACCTTTGAATAAGGCAAACCCACACAAACACAAATTTCTTAAGAAAAATGATAATAAATAACACTAACCTCAAGTATATCAAGAGCTCTATAAACCCCAAACTTCAAGAGCTTCCTAGTGATATCTTCTTCAAACATAAGCTCAATAGTCTCCCTAAAAACTCCCAAATTCTCCACCTCCGGCACCTCTATTCTATATATTTTCTTCTCTGAAGAATCCGCAATCAAGCCAGCGAAAAGTTCAGAGTTTGCCGCCAAAACTCCCGAATTCAGCTCTAGCACCAGAATCCCTCCATTCGTCCCCTTCAAGTTTAGCCTCACATCGTAAGCTTCGTCGCGGGCTGGATCCGAACACGAATTGGGCTCCGGTTTCTCCATATTGGCCCGAAAACTCACCGATCTCGAACGGGGTCTAGCGTCAACATCCAAGGGTTGGTTGCGGGGAGGTTCTTGGACGGAATCATGCTGGTCGATGGGGGAGACTCTGCCGGGAGAGAGAATCCGACGAGGGTCGATCAGACCCATGAGAGTTAACCCGGATTTAGAGCTCTGAGGCGAACTGGGGACCGAATTGGAGGTGAGCTTGGACAGGGAGTCACCCTTCTGCTGGAAATGGGTCTTGTAACTTGAGCGGTGGTGAGAGAAAGACAGATTTTCAGGACTGGAAGGAGGCACGGTGAAAGAGCAACACCATGATCTGCGGCGAGTGGTGCGTCGCCGAGAAGCGGAATCTTCCATCGTGAAGGCTGGGTGCAGAGTCAGGATCCAAGCCCAAAGCAATGAAGAGCGAACATGGTTGCTGTTTTGTTTTGGTTTTAGTGTCTGAGTATACTATTAGCAGTATTAGTATCTGTGTCAGGGAGAGGGGTTTTGGTTGTCCTTTAAAGCTATGAATATAAATATTATGAATAAAAAAATAAATGTTTAAAGAATTTTTCTTCGATTTAATCAGCTTAACTCGATATTAATTAGATATTACGAGGTTCTGCTTAATAAAAAAAATAGCAGTATGCTCCCCCCACTTTTTTCTCTTGGGAGTCGTGTAGAAATTTTGTAGGGTAGCTCGATACTTTTAATTCCTGTTAGTTTCATCGTCACTAAAAAGGAACAACAGTTGCTTGAAACTTGCAGAAAAAAGAAAAGGTGTTAAATGAAGAGGAAGCTGGAAATTGTGTCCATTCGGCTTATATAAAGTAGTTTTGGGAATTCAATTCTGCCAATTACTCATTTCTTCACAAATATTGCGAGAATTTAGGGAGGGTTTGGCTTAGAGATTAAAAAATAATTATAATTTTTGATCTTGACGGAATGATTTATATATTTTGAATTATATATAATAATTATAATTGTTTAAATATTAATTATTAATAATTAATTATGTACAGTTTAGAGGTTAAAATATAACTATCAATTATTGATCTTAATTAAATAATTTATATATTTTAAATTATAAATAATAATAATTATGAATCATTAAATATTAATTATCAACCATTAACTATATCAAAATAACTAATTTAAATACCCTCTTAGATTTTTGTTCTGCTGTTGAGGGTTTATTTTGTTAAAAAGGATGCGGCTGTTCTTCCTAAACTTCTGTTGTACATATGTAATTTGACTAAATTATAATTATTAGATAATCATGCTATTAGGGTGAGTGCATTTGATGTTCATGGATAGTGACAAGGCTTGCGGGACCTGCGGGTAGGGGGAGTGTCGGCAAATATCTATACTTTGCCCTTCAACTTTTTGAGTTTGAGGGTTTTTGCTCTCTATTTATAAGTCAGGGTTACGTACCCTTTAACTTACTAATCTGAAGGTTTTTGCCCTTTGCCCTCTTACCAAACTTTTCACGTTCTTGACCATTACGCTTAATTTAATCTTTGGCTGAATTGATACTTTAGTCCCTTAACTTAAATTTGCTTCATAACTAATTTTTATTTTATCTTGCTAAGATTTTTAGTTCTTCCAGAGGTATTGCTCTTCTCACTTCAAGAATATACCTATCCCAAAATAATTCATTAGTTCTATAAGGGATAATCCCTTTTCTTTCTATAATCTTTGAGATTATATCTATTTGTTATTCTTAAAATTTGACTTTTCTTTTTAAATACATTCTTAACATTATTGTGTTTTAATTCTTTTACAGCTTTGATACCAAAATTTTTTCAAGGGTTTTTGGAACCTAACTTAGACTACTATTGACTAATGAGTAGTTAGTATGTTAAACTCAATAAACACGGAATTAAACCTATTAAGCTGCTGCTAGAGATAACTTTTCCTTAGCCTTCTTTAATCTCTTTAGATCTTTATTTAAATCAACTGCTGTTTGCTTCAATTTTTTGAGATTCTTGAATAGATGATAGTCATCCTCAAAATTACTTATTTTTTTCTAAAATTTTTACTATTTTATTTCTATAATATTTGCATTGCTGCTCATAAACTTTCTTATCTACAACAATTTCTCAAATGAAATCAAGCATCTTAAAGTATGATGAATAGATTTTAAAGATTGACTTTTCTTATTCAAAATATAAGAGGTCGGGTACTATTTCCCCATCGTTTCTAATCTCAATAACAATATAATGTTAAAGTATAATAAGGCAGTTTCTATGCTCACCTTGCTTCCACATGATAAAATATATGAGTTAGAATTTTACTTGAAAACTCTTTAGTCTAGCCTTCGATCAAGCTAATGCTTTCTTTGTCCAACCCTCAATGCCACACTTAGGCTACAATGGGTATCCAGAGAGGACAAGTGAGTTCACTGTTGCTTAAGTTTTTTTTAGGAATTCTTTTCATCATATTTTATGATGTAAATAAGGAAGGATAGAAACACAAGAATTATTCTAAAACATGTTTTTATTTATGAGAAGAGAGAGAAAAGTCCCTTTCGTCTTGAAGGGTGTTTACAGATACATGGTAAAAGGCTTTTAGGTTAGGTATTTGGGTATTCAAATGCCTAATACCTCTTATAGCTTATAGGAGGTTTATAGTTCTCCTTGGAATCTCTTCTTTTGTCATTTTTAATGTTTAAAGTTTACATTATTGTCTGGTGATTGCTTTTACTAAAGTAGATTACATAGAATCTTGCTGACACTCTTCTTCTTCTTTAGTGACGTCATAGCTTATGTCTTTTGCATTGGATTCTTCTAAGGATAATGAGATCCTCTTTACTATTTGAGGAAGTGGTCTTTTCATCACATGGGGCTTTAGCTTTTCCTTTTGTAGATTCTTCTTTGTAGTATAAACCACAATGATTATCATGCTTCAATAGCTTGCATAGTCTATTAGGGATTGCTTTACTAGCTGGGATCAAAATTTCAAAGATTTCTTTTCTTTTTTGCTTTATTTTGAATGGGCTGATGTTTGTCATTAATCTTGCTTCAATGGATTCCACTGAAATTTCATTAGAGAAGCCATAAGTCCATGTTTTCCTCATGTCTATCATTCTGTCAAAGGTTTGGAGTAAAACCTTGAATCCTAGATCTCTTCTTTCTCGGATGAACTCAATTCTACAGAAAGATTCTTGAAAATCTTGAAAATTTTGATCTTCATTTGCTTTTATTTTAATCTTCTTTGATTGAATTCCAATGAACCATATGATAACTATGAAAATATTGAGACTTCTCCTATTCTGGTGCTGCCAAGTAGATGTTGACAAATACTACTTCTTGAGCTTCAATGCCAGCCTTGAAGTCCTTTACTCCTTAGCGTATAACTTTTGGAAGTTTTGAATTCTCTTCATAATTTTTTGAGAGATAGATATAGTTTACAAAAACATAATGGAATAATTCTTTTATTGCCTTTGGCTTTGCACCTTGCATAAAAGTAACTCTGGGATAGATCCCTTCATAGATAGGATGGCAATTCTTGGTATAGCTCATCGAATATGTCAATTTACAAACTCTATGGTATTCTTGTAAATATTCTTCACTCATTGTCATTTTTGACAATGTATTTATTACTGTAACTTTCTTTTCTTTCTTTCTTGAGTAATCGGGTCGAAAGTTATGGCTTTTGGTATTTTGAATAGCCGACTTTTCAGCTTGAGATGTTGATATTTCTGGGGGAGAGTTTTTGACATAATAATCAAATTTCCCTGAACTTTCTCCAAGTAACCCTACCAAATAATCACCTTGTTCAAAATTTTCTTTTAGCTCTTGTAGGGAGCTTTTCTTTGCCATATGGCTAGATTCTTTGGTGTTGATTCTAATAGTAGTAATTACTTTGAAATTCATTAATTTTTCTATTAGCTCTTTGACTTCTTCAAGAGCATTTTGTCCATTATTCAAAAACTCATGGCCTTTAATAATTTTATCTTGGCCTTCATCCATAAGGTTACAACCTTCATCAATTATCTCTTGGCGTTTGATCATTTTTTCTTGGCCTTCTCTTATTTGGCTATTGCCTCCGATGAGTATCTTTTGACCTTCAAAAATAAGGTTTTTTCCTTTATTTTGAAGTTTCAGGGTTTCATCAATTAGCTCTTTCTCTACTGAAGAAATCTGCGAGACAATTATTAGCCCCTTTGACATGTTCAATTTCAAAATCATACTTAGCAAAAAATGTTTATCATCTATTTCATCTTTTATATTTTGGTATTAAAGGTAATTTATTAAAAATAGTTTGGGGGTGTTAGTAGTGTAGATGGATGAATCAGTAGTGACAGTGATGTGGAAACTGACTAGGATGACACCCGAGAAAATGGGGGGGTTCTTTCGGCGACACCAGTCTCATGTGCGGACAGCTACATGCTACAGGCCATCCTATTCTGCTAGGCAACGGTGTCTTGCAATGAACTCTTCAGCAAAGCTTTTGAAGGGACAAATCTTCCAGCCAAGCCGATGGAGTTGGGTAGCAATGGTGGGGTTCCAGGGGTTTTAGATGATCACACAACTACCAAAAACATGATGGAGAGAAGTTGTGCATTATTAAGGAAGGGCAACAGAGATATGAAATACACATGGTTCAAAGATTACAACTTGAGAATCACACTCATACATAAATCACTGTAACATAATAATAATGACAATAAATGTGACCTCTTTCATCCCTAGTGTAGATGTTTACTCTATAACGAACAATCCTCATGTTGAAAACGAAGAGTGCAACAACTCTAATCTTGAGGTTCTTCCAAAGACAAAAAAGATAAACTTGGGAGTGGTGCTGGGAGCAGGAAAGGTGATCGCTTGGGAGCTTACAAATGGAACACTTGATCCTATTTTTGATGCTAACCTTGCAATCTTCATCGTCTGATGCTCAAAGAGAACTACCGAAAGCTGGAACTACAACATGTTGTTCCACAACCATGATATGTTGCAAATTTGGAAATATTCAATAGTGCTGGAGAATGTTTTACGGTGTTGGAAAATACTTTCTAGAACTAGAAAAATATTTCGCAGAGTTGGGAAATACTCTACAGAATCGAAGGCACTAGAAACTTTAGCAAAATGGTGGTTAACGGGTGATTCCTGCGTGCAGAGCAGTGGGTTGAAGATGGGATTAGTTTTTCTTTAGAGGAGAGAAATGAGAGTTTTGGTGAGCAAGTCTGTTGTGCTGCATTCGTCTCTTTTTTCTTTTTGTTCTTCTCTTTCTTTTTTTTTTTTTTTTGTGTTTTTGTGTTGTGTCTTCTTCAAAATGAAGGGTAGATAATTTTTATATATATGCAGTGGTATTGTTGTAATTTCTGGTTGGTGGCTTAGAGGTGTGTAGAAAGGTTGGGGTGAGCTGTCGAATTTTTGGTGGTTCTAGGCACTGTTGGCAACTCTGTGATAATGGGATCATGAATTGCCTAGTGGTCCTAGTGAAGTTTTGTTGGTTCTGGCAA